ACATATGTGTATATATATATATATAGGGCTCATAGAAGGCCACTTTAGAATGGTCCAATGTCCTTCTCTTAGCCATTCTTGGGTGTTTTAGATGTGTGTTTTGGGTCATTGTCCTGTTGCAAGACCCATGACCTGAAACTGGCCAGCACATTTATCTCTAGAATGCCATGAGAGTCTTGAGATTTCATTGTACCCTGCACAGATTCAATACACTGTGTGCCGGATGCAGCAAACCAGCCCCAGAACATAACATAGCCTCCTCCATGTTTCACAGTAGGGACAGTGTTCTTTTCTAGATATGCTTCTAATACTAACACTACTGCCAAAAATAATAATAAAAAAATAATAATAAAATTAATAATAATGAAGTTTTTTCTGCTGTGTCATGGTGAGATGAGACCAAGAAACTGGGATGGCAGCCAGTTTATGTTTATATGTTACTATAAAACCGGTGAGTTGCAATTCATCATCCATTATAACTCTGTAAACCTGACTCTGTGTAAAAGTACATTTCTATCAGTTGGTGCACAAAAATGGCCGTTTAAAGTTTTAATTGTTAAAACAGGGTTTCTGTATACAATATAATAACAATGTTTGGTGTAGTTTTTTATTTTACAAAAAAACCCCAAAAAACAAAAAAAACAAAACCTTTCATGATTAAAAATTCAACTTCCTCAGAAGTTCTTAATTTGCGAGTCACAATTCTGGTATAAAGTATTACCAAATCACGCCTTCTTTCCTTCTTGGTTGTTGAGCTATGAAATGCTGATGACCTTCACAAGTTTTCCATTTGTCCAAAATGGAAGGACTCATCCTAAAAAAGCATTTCCCCCTGAAAGTTAAATGTCTCTTTGCTGCTGTATAGAGCATGACTGGGGAATTATTGATTCTTCCCATATTGTCTCTAATCTTAGCGAGGAAATCCTTAACAGAGGCCGAATGGTCACAAATACTTAATATTATACAGAATGTTACAAATTAATTAGCTCACTCACTTCAGTTTTTATTGTGGCAGTCATGTCAAGGTAGTTGTCCCCGGCAGAATTTGTTTCCCCTGCGTTGAGAGCACAGGCTTGGTTGTCCAAATCACAGACAAACAATATAAACACCAAAAAAATTGCTTCTTTTACATGCCTGAATGTGCACAAAATAGGTTTAAATGTTACACAAATTTCTTCAAGTCATAGGTTGTTCCATATTATGTCACTTTTTGCTTGATGCAATGTGCATAAAGTTAAAAGATTAAAAATAATAAAACCAATTTTTAAAAGAGGATTTTTCAAGTGATCCAATGTTAGATGGATTATGCAGAAAAAAAATCTAATTGGGCTGAAAGGTCTATTGCTTTATAACGTATTCAGGTTGTGTATCATGTTTTTAAAATGAAATAATTACTTTTAAAAATACGTAATCAGTAAAGTAACTGGATAACCTTCTTGGAGAAGTAATAGTAACTACTTACTCTTTTCAAGTAATTTGGTTGGAATGGAGGCGGAGTCAACTGGATCCGTTCTCCCTACCTGGTGAGCGCTCACGACGCAGAGGAAACTAATTCTGTCAGGGATATCTATCTTGGCACGTCCCTCTCTTCATACTTTTGGTGCGTGAGCTGGTTACAACTGTCTGTGATGGAGCGCTGGCGGGGCAGAGTGGCTCTGGTGACCGGAGCCTCGGTCGGGATCGGGGCGGCTGTAGCGGTAGAGCTGGTCCGGCTCAGTATGAAAGTGGTGGGCTGCGCCAGGGACGTGGGGAAATTACAGGTTTGCTCTGAAATAACAAACTTGATTTCAGAAGAGAAACACTTAATGTAAAACTCTAATGCAAAGGACTTTTTAATGTTATGCAAATATGCAGTTATGTAGCTCTGTCAAGTGGACATCATTTAATGGCTGTCAAGCGACAGACTTTTTGTTTTACAATAAATCATTTATGCTGTACATATTGGTCAATATGCATGGGTTAAAATGAGCTGCACAATACCAGATATAAGTAGTGTACTATGCAGCATAATAAACAAAATTATAAACAGTATGTTGGCAGTATAGGAGACAGAAGTCAGATATGATATCTTACATACATAAAAAAAAAACAGTTAAAAACTTTACTGTTTAAACAAGCTTTCTGTTGACCAATGCTTTTTACATTTTTATATTTTTAATTTACATTTAAACTCTATATTGTGTATACTGTGCATTTTGCTATTTATCGTATCTGTGTGCAGCGCTTTGTGACTACCTGTCTATGAAAAGGGCTTAATAAATAAACTTTACTTACTTACTTTACTTACTTACATACTGATGAGTTGTGTAAATCCACAAAGAGCAGTAAACCTCGGGTCAACAGCCACAGCACAGGTCAGCTGATCACAGCCTGTAGAGAAAAAATCTGCTGGATCTCTCAATAGAGCCTATTGTGACTCTTGATTCATTTCCTCACACTCTTATAACCACTACAGTGATCCTACGGTTCTCACATCTGCAAATCCCATTTTAGCCCCTGACTATACTCATATATTCATTATTTTCATTCCCATGTCTAATTTTGCTATTATGTTGAAGTTGTACAAGGTTATGTTTCCTTTGCAAAATAATTGAAATGTCCCTATCTTCTTACTTTTATGCTTTGAATTCATTTCAGAGCCTGGAATTTTTCTCTTTTATCTTAGTAAAGGAGTTTAATCGATAATTCAACTTTTACCAGAGTATTTTTACCACAAGAATCTGAATGCGATGGTGACTCATCTTTTGCTTTTTGTTTTCAGAAACTGGCAGCAGAGTGTCAGAGCGCCGGCCACCCTGGTGTTTTGGTGCCTTTCAAGTGTGACTTGACCAAAGAGGAGGAGATTCTGTCCATGTTCGCCACGATCAAAGAACAGCACAAAGGCGTGGACGTCTGCATCAACAACGCTGGCTTGGCTCATGCAGAGGCGCTGTTAAATGGCAAAGCCAGTGGCTGGAAAAACATGTGGGATGTAAGCGTTATTTTAGAAAAAAAATTGTCCTGGTTGGTATGCAGTAATATGTTGTTGTGTACTACATATTAAAGTATTTAAAGGAATGGTTAATTGTAGGGATGCACCGATACCACTTTTTTGGAAACGAGTACGAGTACGAGTACGCGTACTTGCATTTCAGTACTTGATGATACCGATACCGAGTACTTAATAAAAACATGTTTTAAATTTGCAGGTAACAGCTTTAGTCCTATAATTTAACAAAAAACAAACAAACAAGGGACTAGTTTGGAATTAAGAACATTTATTTAAAATGAAAAGCATCTTGTATGCAACATATTACAGAATAAATAATTATAAAAAAACAAAATTTAATTTTAAATTTGTTCGTCCGTTTCTCTGTTTAGAAGTCTCACTAGCACAGTCACAGCTGGGATGACATCAGAGGCTAGTGCGTCGTAGCTGCTCACTTTTTTAGTTAGTTCCTCAAAGGGGGCGAGGATGGCAACAGTCGTCTCCATAAGAGCCCATTGGTGAGCGGTGAGATAGTCAGGGAGTTCGTGCTCGGACACATACACGCCCAGCACTCGCTTTTGCTCAATGAGGGACTGGAGCATGCTGTTCCAGCGCATCTGTACGTCCTGCTGCAGTCTCGTTATTGGCTGGTTGAGCTGTCCCTGAATGTCCTCGAGGCGGGAGTAGGCTAAGGCGGAATGTTTAAAATGCCCAACTATTTTCCGTCCCACTGCTTGTACTCGTTGTTGTGTTGGGATTTTAGGTGTTTGATTAAATTGCTTGTGTTAAATGCGCTACCTTTAGAGCCTCCTCTGGACAATTTCGCTGAGCACAATTTGGAGTCCGCCTTTGTTTTCGAGTCTTCATTCACTTTGAAATACTTCCACACAGCTGACATGTCTCGCCTCGCTTTCTCCCCGCTCTGAGAAGCAGCCGGGGCCTGGGGGCGGGCACTCGACGCCTGTGATTAACCCCTTACATGCCGCTCAAACATAGACAGGTCTCAGACCGTGGTATCGGTCCTCGGTATCGGGGGACTTTTAACGAGTACAAGTACTTTAGAAAATGTGGTATCGAGGCCAATACCCGATACCAGTATCGGTGCATCCCTAGTTAATTGGAAATACTAAAACTGCCCATAGGTGTAAATGCGGAGCGAATGTGTAGTGTGAATGATTGTCTCTGTCTGTGTGTTAGCCCTGCGACAGACTGGCGACCTGTCCAGGGTGTACCCTGCCTCTTGCCCTAAGACAGCTGGGATAGGCTCCAGCGCCCCCTGTGACCCTGAAAGAAGATAAGCGGAAGTGAATGGATGGATGGATGATTCCAAAAATGTTCTTTACTGTTTATTTCACTGCTGGTTTCTTACAGGTGAACGTTCTTGCACTGTGTATCTGTGCACGTGAAGCTTATCAGTCAATGAAAGAGAGAAATGTGGACGATGGGCACATCATAAACATAAACAGGTGCAGTTTTATTTTACTGATGGACAGTGATGGGTATGCTTGTTAAGTTTATTGATTTAATCATTCATTCATTCTTTTGGCAACTCTGCACAATGGACTTTTTTCACAGCACACATTTGATCTCCCCATTTAAGAACCTCACTATAGCCAATAAAGCCAATTAAAAATGTCAATAACAGTATCCTAAAACCATAAGGGACATCTTAATATCACTTTCATTGGACAGCTATCAGTTCAGAACTAAAAGCTTTTGAGTTTACTGTGAAAATCATCAAAGAAAAAATGCAGGCCAACCAAATCAAATTAATACATAAATAAGTAATAATTCCGAGCTTCTCTTGGTAGGCACTAAATCAACATTATCCAGAACCAACAGTTTCTCTGTTACTATCAATAACTCGCCGGTCTTCGTTTCTTCCTCTGTGAAAAGCTTGGGTGTCATCCTCGACAGTACTCTCTCTTTCAATTCACACATTAACAATGTCACTCGGTTTGCATATTTTCAATTGCGCAACATTAATCGTCTCCGTCCTTTTCTCACCACACGTGCCGCTGCCATTCTTGTCCATAGCCTTGTTACTTCCCGGATTGATTATTGTAATTCACTTCTTTTTGGTCTTACTCAAAAATCCATCCACAACGCATCCAGAACTCTGCTGCTCGTATTATCACCAGGACCCCATCTATCCACCACATCACTCCTGTCCTGCAGCAGCTTCATTGGCTCCCGGTCAAATATCATATCAATTTCAAAATACTCTTGTACACATTTAAGGCTATTAATTATCTCTCTTCTCCATATCTCTCTTATCTGGTTCAGATCACCGCCCCATCTCGATGTCTGAGATCTACTTCTTCCCTTTCTCTCTCTGTCCCCTCCCCCCGTCTTGCCACCATGGGGAGCAGGGCTTTCAGCTGCTCTGCTCCTCGACTCTGGAATTCCCTACCTCCTGATTTAAGAAATATCTCTTCCTTCTCTCTTTTTAAGTCCCACCTCAAAACTCACTTGTTCAAAATAGCTTTTCCCACATAACCTCTCCACTCTGCTATTTTAAATTTGTTTTATGTCTTATGCTTTTATGATTGTGTAAACATCTTGCTTTTATGTTGCTTTTCTTATTCTACCATGTACAGTGTCCTTGAGTGTTCTGAAAGGCGCTTTCAAATAAAATGTATTATTAGTAGTAGTAGTATTATAACTAAGTGATTATAAATTATATAGAAACTGTTAAGTTACAGCACAACAGCACGGTGATGCATTGGTTAACACTGTTATCTCACAACTTCTGGGTTCAAATCCAGCATCTGGCCAGTGTCTTTCTCTGTGTAGTTTGCATGTTCTCCCTGTGTCTGCAGGAGTTCTCACTTTCCCACATAGTCCAAAGACATGCAGTTAGTTGGGTTAGTTTAGTTGAATCGCGTCTGTGTCTCTGTGTTAGCCCTGTGACAGACTTGGAACCTGTCCAGGCTGTACCCGAGGCTCCAGAACCCCAAATTAGATAAGCAGACAAAAAGAGAGGGATGTTAAACTATATAGTAACTGTTGCCGTTGTTGTTGTAACACTAAGGCCTGAGATCAAATCAGAATATGTTGGTAAACGCTGATTTGATTAGCAGCTTGTAAATAGCCTTCTGTTGCAGTGTGTGCGGTCATCAAGTGTTTCCTAATGCTGACGGACATTTCTACACCTGTACCAAGTATGCTGTAACTGCGCTGACTGAGGGCCTGAGGCAGGAGCTGCGTGTAGAAAACACTCATATCCGGGCCACAGTAAGCCTTTGAAAGACACTGTAACCAGCTCCAAAGTACCTTTAACACTAATGTCAGCTGTTATGAGATGCACGCAGAGTACTTCTTGAAGAATCCTTATTAATAATGTCATTTTGCAGAGCATTTCTCCTAGCTTTGTGGAGACAGAATTTGTGTCACGCCTCTACAGAGATAATTCTGATAAAGCAGCTGCTGTATACACTGATTATAAGGTAAAATTATTATTCCTTCAATTCCTACAATTCCTACAGTATTGCTGATGTGATTATTCAGCTAAAATGTCATTAAGCACTTTTCACTTCTATGATAGTCTCTGGAAGCAAAAGACCTCGTCAGTGCCATCACATACGTGCTCAGTGCCCCTCCTCATGTTCAGGTTTGAGATTGTCTCATATTTTCATTGTTTTTGTGACCTTTTGAATGTTTGTCTTTTGCATTTTAAATATCAGCAGTTTAGTCATAAGATAACATTCATCTATCTTTTCTTTCAGATTGGGGAGATTTTGCTTGAAGGTCTGTAGCAGGTGTCATGCAACTTGGCCGTGAGACCCATCCCAATCTTTACATCAAAGTAGTGTGACCGGCTCTCCTTACTTCTCAACACTGTCAGATTGTAATCAATTCACAGAAGGATAAAATAAAGGAAACGCATCCAGCTGTTTTCTGTCTAATTGTCTTCTTATCAAAGGCCCCTGTGGTACCTTTTTACAAGCGTCCTACTGGCCAGCAAGGAATGCCCATGAAAACACTTTGATTAATGACAGCTTCCTTCTTATTGTAACAGATCTCAGTTGCTGGATAGTATTTAAGCTCTAAGAGTATTTTTACTGTTGAGCAGGTGTTCATTTCATCTGGTTAGAACCTTCGATGAGGATGTCAGTTAGACATACACAGAGTGTATGTTCTCATCCCTGAGGAGAAACTATTGCATCTTTCATTTGTAGCCTCCTTTCAAAACAGTCTGTGAAACATTTTTTCCATTTCAGTGAGAAGTTGCAGGATGTGACCATAATGTACTGGAAAATTTTACTGACCTTATGTACTTATGAAAACACTCTATAACATTTTACTGATAATTTTCGCTAATTAATAAAACTTTCAGGAAAATTTGTTTCATTGCAGTGTTCTTGTTGCACTAAAGGATAT